CTCGGCAAAAAAAATTCAAAAAAAAAAAACCACTTCTTTGCCGAGGGTCGGCCCTCGGCAAAGAAACCGTCAACGACGTCGGCGCGTGACGGGTTCTTTTCTTTGCCGAGGGCCGTCCTGGCCCTCGGCAAAGGCTTTGCCGAGTGCCCGATAAAGGGCCCTCGGCAAAGACCCCTTCGCCGTCTAAAAATTCTCCGAGGGGTCTTTGCCGAGGGCAGCCCTCGGCAAAGCCTTTGTCGAGGGTTTCTGGTCCTTTGCCGAGGCCCTCGGCAAAGCATGCGAGTCCAGTAGTGTACTGTCCCTGTATCAAAATACAAGTCATTGTCGCTTTCTGATAAGCCATTTTTTTTTAACTTGGACCGATTATATATAAAAGAATATTAATATTTATAATACATAATTAGTATCATTAGATCCTTGAACATACTTTCATAATAAGCTTATTTGGGGATATAAATGTTGCACGCATTTTTTACAAACCTAATCAAAGTTGAGAAAGTTTGACCTGCACATATCTCATAACGACCTTCTTTCTGGGGCGGAGGGAGTAGCTCTAAGATCTACGTGTCACGTCCAATTTAACAAGAGCTAGCTTATTAAGAAGATTGTTATTTTTTTCATCAATATAGCTTTTATACATTATCCAGATATATGGTCTTCAAATCAAAGGAATGCTTTGGAGAAGATGTAAGTGTTCACCTTGAAAGATGTGCAATAGATTTACTTAATTATCACGAAGAGCTATCTCATCTCTCTCCTCACCCTTCTCCTTCACATAGGAAAAATGGATTAGCGAATTATGTGAGCTAGCATATATGTAGGCTAGATAACCCAAAGCTCTCAGCAAGTCTGTCTTCGTATGCATGACTCTTGTGAACCACATTTAATAGCTCTGAAGTGGATTCTTCATTACATTTAAGGAACCTTTCATCTTGGGCTGGTTCTTCGGCCTTCTTCACAGAATGAACTTGTGGTGTATTCTGATGCCGACTGGGCTACTTGCCTTGACGCGCAAGTCTACCTCAGGCTATGCGGTGTTTCTTGGAGATAATCTTGTTTCCTGGTCTTCCAAGCATCAGAACACATTATCCCATTCCAGTGCAGAAGCAGAATATAGAGTTGTTGCCAATGCTATTGCTGAAGCCTCATGGTTAGGTCAGTTACTGCTCGAGTTGCACACTCCCCTTCGTCGTAGCACACTGGTCTATTGTGATAATATCAGCACTGTCTACATGTCTTCGAACAAAGCACATTGAGACCGGTCTTCACTTTGTTCGGGAACGTGTTGCTAGTGGTGATGTTCGTGTCGGGTCATACATGTGCCTAGCTACTTTTTCACAGTTCGCCGACATCTTCACCAGGTGTTGCGCCTTCCGTTTAAATTTCACACCAAACACATATGGATTGAGGTGGATACATGAACATCCAAACAAGGCCTAAGCTGGGTTTGCCAGATTTCAAGGGTATGATTAATTTTGGTTATGAACACCCTATGGCTTGTTCCCCAAGCAGCCAAGCTTGAGCTTACCTTGGTTTCCTTTTGCTGTAGTTGTTCAGGGCATATGTTCTTTGCCTAAGGCCAATCTCAGTGGAGGTTTTATGGCCAATTTTCAACACACTCATATTTTGAAAATAGTGCAGAAGAGTTTCATCCTCATAAAACTATCTATACTCCTATGAAACTTTCATCATCTCTCTCTTAATCAATGCAGTGTCATGTCAGCGTATTTAATGCTGAAACTCTATGAACCCCTACTGAGATTGGCCTAACAGTTATAATAACAGTCATGACGGTGACAGTGACAACCCATCACGAAGTCCAGGGTTTCACCAAATTATGCATGATGTACAGATCAAATACCAAGTATTATTATATGGGCATCAGGGAGATAATTTGTTAGGGTGACGACTACAAGCCTCCTAATCAACTCAATCAACATGTCTTCGTGATGCCGAGCGAATAAGTATGACTGATAGATCATCCAATAAACTAATAACAGAAGAAATTAGGAGAAAAACCATTTAAGGTCATGGTTGAGTCAACTGCTACTAGGATCTTTGGGCTAGGCATAATGATAGAGTTGTGGCGTGCAGTACTACAGTGAGCATATTTGTTGTGAGTGAAAAATATTGTTCTATGACTGATAAGTTTAAACGAACAGGGCTCGATTAGCTCTCGTCCAACCTAATAAATTTAGATCATGAATTGAGATGGATTTGAGTGTAGGCAAACGAAGCCTTAGTTGCGCCGAGCCATTAATCACCGTGTGGCGATGCGATGCGTTGGCGTGTTCGCGGCAGGCGAAGTTGACACTGAGAAATCAGCGAGAAGTGCCGATAGGGATCGGCCGGTTGTTTTCAGTAATCTGTTAACGCGATTGGCCTATCAGCATTGGACGTGGCGTGAACATGGTTGGATATGTAATCAGAGATGATGTTAGTAGTTTTAAGCGCCACCGCCGATCGAGTGTCTCTTTCGTAGCTGTAGCTGTAGCCGGGCCCCCACTTCCGTTGCATGCGTCGTACTACGGAGGCCGCAGACGTCGGTTCCCCGGTTAGATTCGCTCCTTCTCATCTACGAGTAGTATACAGGTTGTTAGAGGGGGGACTCCGGCCGGCCGATCTGATGTCCGTTTTGTCGAGTTGAGTAAGATTAAGAGGACAAGCTAGCCAGCCAACATTCGCATCAGTCAATGTCAAATGGCTACTTGTTTATGTAACATGCGCCTCTAGAAAACGAAGGGGCCGGTACGTGAGCGGGGTGTGTGACGATGTGCAGGGCACGTTGTTGAGTTGGGCACTTGGGCTAGCGGCGCAAGCTAGCTGTACAGCAAAACTAACAGAAGATGCTGACTTGCTGAGTTCATCGAGGCCGGAACCTGTCAACACTCAACAGGTTGCGCATACGAACGACGTACGTTTTCTTCTTCGGACTATACAAACGCACTTATTAAACACGCCAGTTCAATAATCTACTACTTACCATATATATGACGGCACTAATTGGAAGTTTCGAGTTTCTACTAGGTACCACCAACATGTTCATTCATGCAATTCGCTTCTTCCTCTTCCTTTTCTTGGGGAGGTAACAATGGCCATTTATTTTCTGTTTATTACAATAACTAATAATATAAAACTATTGTAAGTGTTCTAAAGCTTATCGTTGGGCTGATGCCTCTTCTTGAGGAGGACTGAAGCCAGAATTTTTTTATTATCTAAAAAATTAAGCTTTGGGGAAAAAGAAAAAAAAAACACACTTCCAACAACTTGGTAAAATTACTCCTTAAAATAAGAAGATGCTAAATCTTCACTCTAACTCATAACTTTCCATGCTCGATAGAGACTCCGTATCTGTTCCGCTTTCCCGTTTCCCTCGACTCCCCTCCCCCCAACCCCGCGCAACATGTTGCACATTTTTTTTTGGCGCAAGATCAAGTGAGTGGAACCAACTCGTGGTAATTTTTTAAAGAGAATTGCAGTTACTACAATGCAAACAAGACATTTATACTAGATCGCACCGAGTGTTCTTTCATGTATAGATGGTTGACTGTTTTAGCAGAAGTAAACAAGTTCTGTGGATGCTACAACCAAATTGTGCTTAAGAATTAAAGTAAACGTATTATTCAGGATAATAAGGTCATTGTTATGTCATTTTTTATAACTTTTACCTTTTGCACTGACAATTGTACAAACTATAGTTTCCTATATAAACTCCTAACAACAGCGAGGACTGGAGGGCTAAATCCTTGTCCCAGAGCCCACAGAGAGGTTGGACTCCGATAATCAGCGCTGCACTGATAAGCTTTCTGTAGTAGGCTTAGCCCATGCTTATATGATTCTCCTAGGGAAGCCCAAACAAAGTCAGCGGTAGATCATCTGCTAGTTCGGCCCATTTCTCACCCTACGAACCCATCCTTCTCTAGCGCTCTCAGTTTATCAAACACATTTACAATTCAGGATTTCCTCGAAAAAAAAAAAAGTAGAAACGATGACCACCATATTCGTCAAACTACAAACTGGTGGGCAATTGGGCATTTGTGTATAATTTCAGTCAACATTACGTGCTAAACACCACAATAGATCGTCTTAACCTTGATGCTCCAAATATTATCCAGATCAAACGAATTTTGTTCTGCCACTTCTCCCAAATTTGATGAGCTTGCATCACGATTAGGTTTTGTGTCTCGGATAGAACTCCAAACTTTTCTGAACCTGCAATGGGTTTTTATCATGCATTGGCCAACGTTTGACGCCAATGTAGGAATTCTTTTTTTTCCTTTCTTGCATCTACCAATCCCAAAAACGAAGAGCTACCGATCTCTGAGGAAACAATTAAAGTTCGCTGAGGTTGATCGTTGATGCTGCAAGACCTGAATCTAACCTGACCGACCATCAATGAAGTGAAATTTATTACCGACTTGCTTCCATTCACTTTGAATTCCCAAAGTGCATAGATACTCTCTTTTTTGCGTCAACCGAAAAACATAAAAAGCCAATCATCAAAGCAAATGCCAAAGGATAGACTACAATTCCTGAACATTAGTATTAACAATCTACAAGTTGTCCTTCATATGCTAGCCTGCAAAATGAATCGTGTTCAAAGAATTCACAAAGACAAGAAAGAAAACCAACTATATGATCGAGGTTAATCGAGGGTCCTGCCTACTCTCCATCAGGAATCGCGAATTGCGATGGATGGATCATGGGACTGGGAGGGCCGGAGGGGGCACATGCACAGGCACAGGGGCAGGGCAGTAGCAGCACCGAGGCACCTCTTGCTTCTTGACGACGAGTAGGTGCAGGAGGCTGTCGTCGCACACGTCCGCGCCGAAGAGGTGGAACCGCCGCTGCACGAAGGCCCAGATCTCGACGGCGTCCCTCTCCTGAAGCCGCAGCCCCGGATGAAGTCGAGGTACCCTTCCCCTTGACGATCGTGCCGCGGCTGCTCTCCCACCGCGACATCTGCAGCTCCTTGGCGCCGGCGGCGAGGCTCACCAGCTTCACGCGCAGCCCGCCGTGGACCTTCCCCTTCTTCTTGGGTTTCTTGATCTTCTTGCCTGGCGGCAGCTGCTCCCCTGACCCTCAGCGGCGGCATTATTCTGCGGCTCTGGTGGTGGTCCAGGCTGCAGCTCCAGCCTCGGCCGCTTCGCCCTCGGCACCGGGCATGGGTCGTGGAGGAGGCTGGCGGCGTAGAGCTCCTGCGGGTTCAGGAGCGGGCGAAGGTGGCGCTCGACACCGTTGCTCGGGATGCGGAACCGGTTCTGGTGCGAGTCCAGGTCGGTGCTCGTCACGTACTTGTCGTCGATGAAGTGCACGGGCAGGTCGGCGCGGAGCCCCAGCGCCACGAGGAAATGCCTGCGCAGGCACGGCGGCTCTTCTCTGCCAGCGGCCGGCAGCCGTAGCAGGGGCGGGAGGGTGTTGATGGGTGCGACGTCAAGGATGGTACCCGCGTGCGGAACCATCGCACCTGACGCCGCCGCCGCCGCCGACGACGAATTGGCGGCGGCCTCCTCTTTCTGCCGCGCCCGCATGTTAGCGAGCTGCTGCGACGCGGCGGCAGGGTCGTAAAGGACCATCTCGAGAGGGCGCTTGGAGCCGGCGAAACACGGCGACATCTTTTGGTTCTTTGCTTTGCTGCGGAATCGAATGTGGAATGTGGAGATATGGCGTCGCTGCCCCGCCGTCGCGATATATATGGAGCGGGTAACTGGCCATCCTCACGGACACGGATCGGAAGCGGAGTCCGACTCGGCTTGGGAGTTACGGCGCCGGCCGGTTCAAAAATCAAAACCGATCTCCGTCCGGGACTGCTGCTGCCGTCACCGACTTGATGGCCGCCGGCTCGCTCGCCACTCCGACTTCGAGTCCCATTCGAGTTACGCGGAGGCAGCACCGACTCCAACTCCCCGCCGCGTCACGCCATCCACCGCGGGACAGGGGTTTGCGACACGCGAGTCACACGAGGAAGGGTTCAGGCCTGTGTACTTTAGCAGACTAGTTTTGCAGTGTCAAAATATACAAATTATGACCCTGTTTGCTTGACTTATGAGCCGTACTGTTTTAGCGAATCAATAATATTTTTTTCTCACAACAAATCAACCGAGAGTACTTTCAGCCATGGCTTTTCAACAAAGCGAACATAACATATTTTCTCTATTTTAAATTATAAAACATTTTGGTCTTTTTAGATAGATATACACTATTCTAAATACGTAGTAAATGTATATTCCTCAGAATTGGGCTAACATATCTCAATATTGACAAAATCATCGCAAACATCTCACACTATTGATGGACATTTTGTTAACCACTAAACAAATAACGTTGTTAAATTTCTTAATAAATTCAGACAAATGCAAGCACCCCAGACTTAAACCACTTAGAATTTAAAAGTTATCATGTGACGTGAATTACCCATATTTGATGTGCTAGTCAGGATCGCATTGGTGCGTGATCCTAGCTCCGGGGTCTTAATGAAAACATGTTACAAACCAAAAATCAACCCCGATTAAAAAATTACAAATGGTCGTACGTATATAAAACAAAAGAGTCTAAAGTCTTCTAGCACAGCTTATTCACCAATGTCATAAGATGTTTGGAGTTGTTTTGTGCCAAACGGGTCTTTGTAAACAACTTCACAGATGAAGCTTCTAAAACCCGCTCTCACAAGGGAATGGGGTGAGATGAAGATAAAAATAGTATGTTTTTAGATTTGCCCCATGGCAAAGGATGAAGAAGTGTCGGTGCCGGGGCGGTTGAGCACAAGTGAGTATGAACTAAGCTTGATATCCTCATCTAGTTGCGCTACATAGCCAAGATATTCTTTCATCATCACTGTCGTGCTGACGGGCAACAAGAGCACATCCTCAATGTTGTTGATTTTGGAGGAGAGCATCGCAAAGGTGAATTCAGTCACCGTGTTAGTCAGCCACTCTTGGCCACAGAGAGTGTTCAGGTCGGACTAGTATAGAGAAATGCCTTAGTAGTTCAGCACAACCTTTTTTGAAGCCAGAGCTAGAAGTGCATCATGGCAGAAATCCAAGTCAAGAGACGGTGCATGTCTGTTTGGATCCTTGTCCTTAAGAGACGGTGCTGGAGCATGTGGTTTTTTTGATCAGAAATTGTTCAGTGGAAGCCTTGTGCTTCGGAGGCAGAGGTGGGACTAGAACGAAGGAGCTATCTGGTGCTCTCTGATTTGGTTTCTCTTCGAAGGAAACAAAATTGAGATGCACAAACAAAATTCAAAGACACAATATAAAGGAAGGACAAAAAGCACCTATGATGTTAACCGTGGAATACTATGAGTGCTGTTAACTTCAAATAATAAGCTTTCACATTTCTTGTTGTAGAAGCTAGAGAAGCATCGAGCATGCAGTCCAAGACTAGACTCGACTGCAGCTTGTCCTCAAGTGCAGGCAGTGCGGTTGGATACTTCTCCTTTTGAGGTAGTACTTGTTCTGTCGAAGCCTTGTGCTTCAAGTGCAGGTGTGGGACTCGAAAGGACTTGTCCAGGACTCTATGTTTTGCTTCCTTCTGCAAACAAAATTGAGATTCACAGTATAAACGGTGAACAACAAGCACACATGATGTAACTATTGAAAGATCCTTGTTTGGTTTTAGTAATTGAGTGACAACCTTATGTGAACTAATATGTGTTTGATTGAGATACACAGATGAATAGTCCATAAGTACATCATATGTGAGCAACCTATGTCATGGAGGTGAAATGGCTTGGATATGTTGCAAGGCTCACATATGTGATGAAGGAGCTCATTGCATATGAGACATGACATTGAGTCATGTAACTAAGGTAGAGAAGATCAAGACAAGACTTGGCTTGATGGACCGGTTGCAAGCGTGAAGGGCAAGTTGGAGGCTTTGGAGCGATGGACCACGTGGAGGTGAAGCTTGAGCAAGACTTGAAGCCGATGGACAAAGGCAACGGTGAAAAGCAAGTGAGGTCAAGATCGATGAACCAACAAGGTCATGTGATGATATGAAGTGGATCATATCATTTGTGATATGGTTGATGCATGTGTTGCATTAACATTGGAGGAGATAGAACGGAATGCGCAAGGCAAAGGTATAACCAATAGAGCATTTCATTTCACCGGTCATAGATGTGTAGAGAAGTTGTTGACCGACTTTAGGATAGATGGTCGTACTATCAAGAGGGGCAAACTTATTTGCATATCGGTCATCTAGTGCCACTCAAGTGATCTAACTTTGCATCGTTGTTAGGATCGAGTGGCATGGTAATTTGAGTGACCAATCTTTTGGAAAATGTTTGTGAAAATGCTAACACATGTGCACAATGATGATACACAATGTGTTTTGTACTTGGGAGCAAGGGTGAAGAGATAGAAGTTGATTTGGAGGTGAAAAGGTCAATAGGACCCTGGTGGCGAGGGCAACAGGACCAATGTGAGCTGGTCCTGTTGGTCCGTGTTTAACATTGATGGTTCTTGGATGAGAATTCTGCATTGATCCATTGTGTTTTGCATTAAATATGCAAGTGGGATGTGTAGCCCTCTGAGTAAGCTTTTCAAATTGTCCAAGATCATCAAAATCGGAGTTCAGAGGTAAGAGTTATTGTCGTTTTAGCGCTCGGGACTCTGGCTCAGGACACTGTCCCCTGTGTCCGGTTCTAGGGTCCGGACCATGTTTTTTGGGTCCGTTTGAGCGTTTTTATATGTGTTTGAAGGGACGGGACCACGAGATGGTCCGGTTGTAGGAACAGGACCCGGTCCGGTTGCTTTGGGAGCTCTCGGGAGCACTCTAGACTGAATAGGACCGAAGTGTGAGATGGTCCGGTTGTTTCGGTCCGATTCTTTGTCTAAGCCTAAGCGAAAGTGACTAGTTACATAGGTTTGTGTGACCTTGCTACTAGAATTGTTTAGGTGAGATCTAGCTAGCCCGACACCTTTGTTGCCTTATTAAGATCTTTTAAGGTGCTTGATAACTTAGATAGAGGGGTGTAGTCTTGGATAGACTGATAGTTTTAATTCTGCATTTATTTCGGTTAGCCGGCGTGATTAATTTTAGAAATGACTATTCACCCCCTCTAGTCTGCCATCTCGATTCTACACGTGGTATCAGAGCTTGGTCGCTCATTTGTGGTCTTCAACGACCCGAGAGGATGGCGAACTTCGGGCTAGATGTTGAGTGTGACACACATTTTTGATGGCACACACTTTGCACGGTTGAAACACCATATTCTTGATCATTTCCATGCAATAGGTCCAAAGGAGTGGTCGATCATTGTTGGATTTTCTTGTGATGCTTTGGATAAGAGTAATCTAACCCAAGCTCAAAAGGATTGCTTACAACTTGATACACGTGCTCAATATTATCTAACGTGTGCTTTGCATAATGATATTTTTAGACGTGTGTGGGACTTGGAGAGTGCTCATGATATGTGGATGGCACTCAAGCCTTCTTCGGTGACTCCTCCACATGTGATGATGGAAAGTTCAAGAAGGAGGATGATCACAAGGAGGAAGCACATGAGTGTGCTGAGCATGACCACAATTTGGTGATTGTGGAAGATTGTTCCACCTCATGGTCAAGTGATGATGATGATACTACCATAAGATCACTTGACATGGTTGTTGATGATGCCACAAGTGATGCAAATGATGCTTCTACTACATGCACACTTGTTGATGATGATGGTGGTGGCTCATGCTCGGGCTATGAGAGTAATGCTTGTACAAGCCCATCACCATCACCACATTGCTTCATGTCACAAGTTGACACAAAGGTATAAAATGCTAATGTGATTGATCATGTTGATTCATATGATGAGCTTGTAGATAAATTTCCGAGCACGACCATGTCTTTAGAAAATGAGAAAGCTAAAACATTAAAATTGGAAAAAGAAAACTCATTTCTAAAGAATTCATATGAAGAACATAAGCACTTACTTGATGTTCTTAGGCTTCACATGATGAGCTAAAATTGACTCATGAGGAACTTCTTGTATCTCATGAAGATTTACTTAAACATCATGGTTCTCTCATTAAATTGTTTTCCAAGAAAATTAAAAATAATGAGAGCTCATCACATGAGTCAAGTGATCAAACACAACATATGACTAACTCTTGCGATGTAGGGAAGAAACATGTATCCACCTCTTGTGATGATTTATTAGATTTGCCATGTTCTTCACATATAGATGCTTGTTCTACTTCTATGTCTTTTTAGATGAACCTTTTGAAGGAGAACAATGAGCTCAAAAGAGAAGTGAAGGAATTGAGCAACAAGTTAGAGAGGTGCTACAACTCAAAAGTCACCTTTGAGCATATGTTGAAGACTCAAAGAAACTTCGGTGATAAGAGTGGTCTTGGCTTCAACAAGAAGATGACAAAGGGTGAAATAAAAATAGAAAAGAAGATGAAGAAGGAAACACGAGAGAAGCTCTCTCATTTCATGTGCTATCGATACCATGAAGTAGGTCATGTTCATGATCAATGCCCTAACATAGAGAAGCTCAAGAAGAAGAAAGAAGAAGAGAGGCTCAAGCATGTCAAGTGCCATGATTAGGGTCACTACACCTCAACATGTCCAGCCAAGAAATTGGCAAAGCAACAAGTTGAGCCTCAATCAAAGCCAC